GGACTTGTATCGCTGAAGTTTCTCGGAACGAATTTCTACAGGAAATTAACAAACAAGCAGATACGCAACAATTACATTCAGGTGTATGTCAGTATTTTATGAACTAAGAAGTTTCTTAAATAGCATATTAGTATATCTTGAAATTTTGTTCACAAATGGTTCAGTAAGCATGTTAAATATGTGATTTTACATACATATAATAACTATTTTGCATCGGGTTATGATGAAACATGAGTTTTCTTTACGAAATATAGATTTGTTAGAAACTTATATTTGTGATGTGTAATTTAACCATAAAATAATTAGTTTGACATTTATTTATAAAATAAGAAGTTTTCATAAATAGTATTCTAGTCCATCTAGTGTATTTCAAGTTTTGTTAATAAGTGTTTCAATATGTGTGATATTAAGTCCGAGATTTTACTTACATATACTAAAGATAGTAATTAGTTTCTGATGAGAAGAGAGTTTCATATAAGAAAATCACGGTAACAGTTTGAAAATCCACATGAGGAAATATAATTGTTTTGAAATAGTCGAAAAATAAATACTTGATTTATAAGTAAATATTCTTTTACGATTGTCAACTAATTTTCGGTATTGTGATGATTTTTCTATGCGAGTAATAACGTGATAGAACAAGTACATACACCAGTTATTATATTTGTTTGTTTGTTTTTGAATTTCGCGCAAAGTTACACGAGGGCTATCTGCGCTCTTGGGCTACTCTTTTACCAACGAATAGTGGGATTGACCGTCACTTTATAACGACCCCACGGCTGAAAGAGCGAGCATGTCTGGTGTGACAGGGATTCGAACCCGTGACCCTCAGATTGCGAGTCGAGTGACTTAACCACCTGGCCATGCGGGCCAATATTTATATTTTTATTACATTTAAGATTTCTGGAAACAAATCTATTATTCAAATTATATAGATAAGGTATAATAAAGAAGTGTTAAAAAAGTCCAGAAAACTTGGAAAAGATTATATAAAACTAAACAAAAATAAATTAAGTTATAACTTTTTGAATAAATATAAGGTTTATGGATTAATACAAAAATTTTTAAATTTTTAAACTGCTAATTTTAGGTTCAAAGAATTAAAACATTATAAAGAAACCCAAAAAAGGTTTTTAGAAAGTGAAATTAAATATAAGGAGAAGACATTTAAAAAGCTTGAAAAAATAATAATTGAAGATAAATTACAACTTAAATTAGTAACGTTGACTTCTTTTGTTTGAATAATAAGATTATAAGAAATAACAATACTAAACTGATAGAAATACGATTAGCGCAGAATACAAAAAATAACTTGAAGAAAAACCAAATTAATAATTCTTTTTCGGATAATCCTGATAATGTGATAATAAATCTGTCAAATTATTGTTTAAATGATATTGAAAAGAAAGTTTTATCTAGAGGATTAGGATTTGCAATCGCTCCTAAGAAATTGGAATTTCATGATTATTTTATTAGGATTTGAACTCTTATTAAAGGCTCTTAAGTGTTGTAAAGTTAATTCATCTGCTCAAATTAATTTTGATAATGTGTGTACACATATTACCAGTATAAGTTTAAACGGTTTACGAAGCTACAACTCGAATTCTAAGCCATGGAATATTTGTTGGCTAGAAAATCAAGCCTTGATAAAGTTAAGTAAGAACAAAGTGATAGTGATTATGAAGCCTGATAAAGGTAATAAAGTAGTTATTATGGATAAGGAAGATTATAACAACAATGTTGATGAAATTATTAGTGACAAAAGTAAATTGAAAATCCTTAAAAAAAAATCTCACCAAAATTAGAGAAAATAACTTGATTTGATATACTTATTAAAACTAAAAAAAGAAAACATCATAACAGAAGATATTTATAAAGAAATAATACCTAGTGGTTCACATGCGGTTACATTGTATGGATTGCCAAAAATTCATAAAGACAATTGTTCAATGAGACCTATCGTGTCTAACATTGGTTTCTATAATCACAAATTAGCAAAAAATTAACTAAAGGTTTAAAAGAATTTATTAACATTGAATATACTCTGAAAGATAGCTTTGAATTTGTAGACAATATTAAGGATTTGAAATTTGATAAGGATGTAGTAATTGCAAGTTTTGATATAGAATCATTATTTACTAACATAACTTTAGACGAAACCATTGAGATATGTAAAACTTTATTATACGAGAAAGGGGTAGTTTTATGGGAATACCATAAGAGATATTCCAAAGGAATCACAATTTTTTTAATGGTAAGATTTATGATCAGAAAGATGGAGTTAGTATGGGTTCCTGTTTGTCCCCCATATTGGCTAATGTATTTATGTAAAAATTGGACAATTCCAAATTATCGGAAAGGCTTAAAATGAGCAGTGGCTATGATTAAAAGAAACATTAGCCATAAAGAACTTAGCACCTGAACTGAACACGAAATCCAGCACCAGTGAGCTGATGTTAAAAAGTGTGAGAAGAGAGAAAAAAATTATATCTTTTCCTTTTCCATGGCTCTTTGTCGGTCTCCCATTTTTCTTGATTCTCTTTCTTATGGCAGTAGCATCTATAGTGTCAGTGGGTTATGTCTATGTTGGTGGTGTTGCAAATTATCCTCCTCAAGATTGAATGCTGCTGCTGAGTTGACTAACCCAAATGGTATTCACTTAAATTGGTAACATCCATCTGGTGTCACAAATGCTGTCTACTCTTTAGATCCCGTCTCCATCGGGATTTACCAATAACCTTTACTGGGGTCGATCTTTGAAAAGAACCTAGCCGCATCTAGTATTGCCATGATGGCCTCTGGGTTGCCCATAGGTTCGGAGGCGAACTTCATCACGAGGTACAGCTTCTGGAACTTTATTAAGAAACGGTTTGATCCACCCCTCTTCTTCATGATTACAATTGATGAACATTTACCTTGTAGTCCATTCTATTGAGTTCTTCCTGTACTTCAAAAAGTCCTTTCCATTGCAGGGTGAGTTTGTTGTGGTCTGTGGACAGCAGAACTAAGACATTTTGTCCAACCTTGAAATATTGATCCTTGGCCTTCTTTTCATAGAAATGCCTCTGACTACCTTGAGCTGCATACACACTCTTTTGAGCGAGTTAACAGGTCTCCTCCAGTCGGTTTCTGAGGTCTAACACATACTAGAATGTGTTCCTTACTTCTGACTCTTCTTTTTCCGTCCATAGATCTTTCAATATTTGCATCAGGCCTCATACTGTTCTTCCGTACACTAACTCGAAGGGTGAAAATCCTGTCCTTGCTTGTGAGACTTCTTGATAAGCAAATCATACTGCCTGCAAGTACCTGTCCCAGTCATGTGGTATCTCTTGGCACATCTTCTTTAGCATGCTCTTTAAAACTCCATTGACTCTCTCATAAAGATCATTACATTCAGGATTGTACTGGGTGGTAAAAGGTTGCCGAGTACTGGTGAGTCTGCATACTTCCTGCATCAGTTCTGAAGTAAACTGGGTCCCTCTGTCACTCAGACTTTATCTTGGAAAGCCTGTTCTGCAAAATATCTCCAGAAGGGTTTCTGCTACTCTTTCTGTCTCTATCTTCGCCAGTGCTATTGCTTCTGGAAAATGTGTCACATAGTCGACTACTGTCAGAACATTCGGGTTGCCCTTGTCAGATGCAGGTGCTAGTGGCCCAATCAAGTACACAGCTACTCTACTGAATGGCTCTTCTATGAGAGGTATCTTCCCTAATGGCACTTTGGCTACCTTCCCTCTAGGTATTGTCCTTTGGCAGATATCACATGACCTGCAGAATCTACTTATATCTCCGATGACTTCCAACCACTGGAAATTACTGTCTGCCATTTTCTTTGTTCTTAGGTGTCCTCTCACAATTGATTTATGAGCCAACTTCATCACTTGAGTCCGATATCCTTTGGTACAATGAGCTGTTTAACTTCCCCAGCACAACTGCCTAGATAGATTCGGTATAGAACTCCCTTCCAGTCTTCTATTCTAAAAATATCTTTCCCCTTTGTTTTGTGCTCGACTTTCTCCCGGGCATTGTCCCAAAGTTTCTGCAGTGAAGGGTCCAGTTGCTTTATATTGAGATTTCTGCTGCTGTTTGCTGATGATGGACTTCTTTGCAACTTGTGTTCCATTTTATAACAAACATAGCATCTCTTCTCCCTTCTGTCTATTAACCACCTGCCACCTTTAGTACACTTCTGCTTCTGGTCAGCCATTACTGGTTTCAAATTTCACTGGACATACTTGGACTTGCCAGTTATACTACCTCCGTGGGCTTTCATATACTGTTCTACCAGCTTGATTAGCTCGTCTTTTGGTGCTCTTTCCTTTAGAAACAGTGACATGTCCGTTGAACACGTAGTCATGAACTGTTCACATACTAATAGCTCTGCCAGCCCCTCAAAACTATTTTCACACATGGCCATGTCAGTCCATCTGGTGAAATATTGCTGCAGACGGGCCACAAATTGAAATGCAGTTTCTCCAGTGTCGGGTTTGACTCCTCTAAACTTTGGAGGATAACCTTTTTCAGTAAATTCATATTGTTTCAGTAAAGCCACTTTTAGATTTCTCATAATCCATGGCATCTTCTGACGTCATGACTGCATATACTTGTAGGTCTTTTCCTGTGAGAAGTGGGCTGAGACCGACTGTCTAGTCGCCTTTGTCCCAGTTCTGACTTTGGACAAATATTTCATATCTCTCCAAAAAAGCATCCATGTCATCTTTATGTTCATCAAATTTGTGCGGCTTAGGTCAGCTAACCATGACTCCATTGTCATTCTTGGGTCCATGTTCCTTCAGTTGAATGAGTTTTGCTATCTCAATTTGTGCTCTTATTCTCTCTATTTCTAGTCTCTCCTCTCTCTCTCTTTCTTTTTTTTTCAAATTGTGCTCTTATATTTTCTCTCTCTATTTTCAGTCTTTTCTTTCTCTCGTTTTCTTCTCTCTCAATTTGTATTCTCATTCTCCCTTTTCAGGGCCTCTTCTTTCTCTCATTTCCTCTCTTCTCTTTCCTTTTCTTCTTTTAGTTCTTTCTTCCTCTCTTCTCTGTCTATGCTCTTCCCTCTATATTTTTTGTTGTTGTTTAACGAATTCTCGTAGTTCACTGTTTTTAACTCAAGATGAGATCCTCTTTCTACCTATTTATCAAAATCACCTGACATGGTTGTATAGCCTTAATCTCTACACTATTTTCATTACAACTACAGTTGTGTGTTTCCTTTTATCGCCGTTTACTACTGTATAATCCTGGCTGTGGCTCGCCAATTGTCAGAATATAAAATATAATTATTTTTCCAGTTGTCAAAATAAAAGGCTTTTGCTTATACTTCTAAATAGTATAAATATATGCTTGTTGTTGTTGGGCTTATGAGTCTTCTACAGTAGGTGTCTGTGACTTGTTGACGATAAATTCAGCAATAAATGAACAGCAGGTACTTCACGTATTTTCAAAACAATATACATATATTCGGAACAAGTTAAGTGTATGGAAAACAAATTCTCCACATTATAGATATTATAGGCATATCATACTATATATATAGTTCTCTTCTTCTTGTAAAAAGTCCACATAGGCCTATTCAACTGCTTTAGAATTTCAGTTGACAAGCCGAACTACCTTCTCTATTTAAACGTTAGGTAAAGAACTATGTTTGCTCACTTTTAAATATCAGTAAAACTAATTAAAGTATAGTATAAATATGTAAAGTTCATTGTTAAATATATTGTGCATAGATACATAAAGATTATAATTATGGTCTAATTGAATACATTTAGCGATTTGTAAAAGTGAATATTAATCTTATGTGGAGTTAATTATAAATTTTACATATTGATTATAGTAACTGATGTTTTGTATGTATAATAATATATGACAATACTGAATTGTATAATTCGTGTTACCAAAAATCTTTAATCACTTTAATCTTTATAATTCTTGGCAATTATTGCAAAATAGACTTGGTCATTCTAATCCTATGTTTTTTTCTAAATCTGTATATTTTCTTAACCAACATGGTCAGTGGCCTTGAATATCAAACACTTCAGACTGTGACCATCCTCTCTTCTTAGGTTGTTTAATGACGTCAGTATTTCCGTAGTGAGTTTGTGTATTTCATGTGTGTGCGACCACTTGGTGACCTTTGTCATTCTTAATAGTCCATGACCAGATTGTATGCGTGTGAAGTAAAGTTAAACATTAACTTGGTTAAGAAGCAAGGTTGGTTGGAGTGATGATTCAAGAGTCAGAGAGGCTGTCTGCTCTAATGTGACAAAAAACCTGTGAGCAGTTTCTTGACTCACTACTTACCTTTTCCATCATCCAGGTAGCAGGTAACATCCTTGAAAAAGATTTCAATTTAGTGATTTCATGATGGCTCTATATATAATATATTATAATATAATATTTCACTAAATCATTTTGCAAACTTTTCTTTATCAGACTCTCTAGAATGTTTTTCACTAAATAAATAAGATTAATTGAACTAAAGTTTCTAGAGTAACTCTTATTACTCCCTTTAGAAATAGGAGTGACATTTAACTTTCCAATCCTAGTGGCACAGCGGTATGTCTGCGGACTTACAATGCTAGAAACCGGGTTTTGATACCTGCGGTGGGCAGAGCACAGATATTCCATTGTGTAGCTTTGTGCTTAATTTCAAACAAACAAACATATCTATTATTAGGCCTCTTTTGAAACTCAGGGTAAAATTATCAGTTATTTTTACTTAACAGGAGCTGGAATATTGTTAAATAATCTCTCTTTTGGAGCCACAAGAGAATCTTTTAAAAGTTAGCTATCTTACAGTATCCAAGAAAACAACTTAGGACTCTGTTCCCATTTCAAAACACTGTGGGTATCTTTAATTTACTTAAAAAACATCCTTCAAAGTATTTTTACATTAGCAACCAGTTGATTCTCATAATCACTTGTTTATTTCCTAATTTTAATTTGAATCAAATTCCTAACTTTTCTAGAGTTCTGTAAATTTTCCATCTTATCTGCTAAATCTCCGATTTTGTCCTTTATATATTTAGTAAGCCAAATATATTTGTTCTTTTTATTTTGTTTTTATTTTTATTCGTAACAGGGATTTAGTTTTTAAGGGAAAGCAACTTTCCCAAACTGGGGCGTTCATGGATATACATATTCTCTTTCGCCCCGCTAGCGATAATTGATTTATTTAACCCACAAGAATACTTGATTTATGTTGTTCAGTGTTTAGTTAATAAGCTACGATGGGAGATTTAAACTGTGGTTTAGCGCGTGAGAGAAATTGCAGAAACTGCCCGTAGTCAGGGTCACAGAGTGGTTGGAATCTTTAAATCCTATGCCAAGGTTGGGATCAAAGAATCCAAATGCCTTATAATTAGATGTGTGAGAAAACGGGAGTACTCCGAGAAAACCCATTTTCACAGGACAGGCGCCAAATAATATTCCCCATTATCTTTATTTTTATGGACATGTCTGCTTGAATTAATTAAGAGGAAATTACTTTTTAAAATTTCCCACATGTGTCACATATAACCTTATTATCCCAAGTTATTAATGACAAAACTTGGTCTATTGCCTCAAAATTGGCTTGCTGGACAATTATGAAGTGAGTAAGTTAAATGTGATTATTCTGTTAAATAGATACTCAGTCATGATTGTATTTTAAGTAGTTTACTAGTATAAACATTACATAGGCAAATGTTTTATTACTTCTATAAAGTATTAAGTACTTACTTATAGTTCAAATTAGGAACAAGTGTTTCATTATCAATATTTGAATAATAAACTATAATGAATGTGAATAGCTACTTAAATCTGAATAATCGTTTGTATTGAAATATACATGAAAAAATTTCAAACAATATCATCTTCCTATATATATATATTCCAGAAATGTTATAATGTATAGTTTATCATTGTGGTTAATAGATGGACCGATGAGCCCTAGTATTGCCACATTACCTCTTGAGCACTGAAAATAATAGTTATAGGGTGGTTGACATATTATCATATCTTCTTTACTTTCTCTCAAAAGTTATTCTAATTGCCATCTTTGGAATTAAATTATTTTATACAACGTAATTTTGCTGGTTTTGTATGTGCATTGGCTTGTGTTATAAATGCACCTGTGTTATCTCCTATAACACTATTCTTAACTTTTTAAACATATCTTAATATTTAAAAAACAGTCCATAATAATTATGGACTGGACATACATGAAATGCTCTACCTTTTCATCATTCAATTTTAAAATACGATCATAACATATATATATATTGACATTTAATACATCTAGAAAACTACAGTTCAATTTTTAAGAAATAGGATGTTTCAGATGTTTTTTTTTATCTTCTTTCCTTCAGGTTTAGTTGAGAAGACTGTGGAGTTGTTTGTTCTTTTCTGTGCTTAACGCGTATGTGGAATTTCAGAAGACTTGTGATTTATTGATAAATTAGAACCTTAATATTTTAGGTTGAAATCTTTCAAAAAAGTAATATATTAATAGAAAATATTATATTCATAAATATACATTTTCTAGTTAGTCTGTATTGCTAGAAAGGTTCCCAAAATAATACTGATTACAAACCAGTTTTTAAAATGTTTTAACTTCCTCACAATAAGAAGATACTGAAATAGATTTACTAATATTGTTGTATTTTCTTCATTTCAGGATGTTCTGGGTTGGTACAAGGAAAGCACAGTTTTAAAATTGTGCTTTAACATCGAAAATTGTGAAGCACTTCAGAGAATTCAAAATTATAAAATAATGTTTCTTTGTCAATAAAGAAATGTGATGTTAATGATGAAGGAAAAGTTTCTGAGTGTTTTTCAAATAAAATAAGAAAACTTTTTATTCGTGTTGATTCATGGTTCTCCGTGGAATTTTCAAACTTGGGGTGAAATACTCTTAGGTATTAAACTCTGAGGAACACCTAAATTATTAAAGTAACAAAATTAGTCTCATCACCCTCTATAACAATTACGTCTTTCTTTCATGTCATAATGGTACCATCTTAGTTTCAGATCTGTTCAATATGTATATATGTATGTGTGTTGATGTTTGTGTCATTGTAATGGAGAAGTTAAAACAAAAACTGCTGTCTGGGACATTATAAAGCACTATGATGAACACTCACTTTGAAACTGGTTAAATCGTCAATTTTACTTCTTTAAAACAAGTGTATGATCATTATGTAATAATTCTAAGTCTGAATGGGCATCCTTTAGTCTAACAACAGAGTTTTTACACCTATGCAAAAATCAAATTTTATTATTTTTCAATGACGATTTTTAGAAATTGAAGGACCATTTCATACGGATTACACAAGAAATTGCACCTGGAAATACGTGTTTTCAAATGTAAATATTATACAAATATTGGTATATAATGTTTTATGTGGAGAAAGACAGTAACACTAATCTCGCAGTATTCAAATGTAACTGAATTATTTGAAAATGAAAATGTCAAAGTGTTTCAGCATGTCTTGTTTCACAATTTCTCTTCAATTTTCACTGTTAGAGTCTTCATGGAATCTTCCTTCTCTCTTACAGCTTTCCTCGGGCATTTGGCTACTGTGAGGATGATAAAGTTTCTTTCCTTTTCATCTTTCTCAAAGTTTTCATCAGCTGATGAAAGGAGCTGCTTGATGCCACACTCAAGCCTAATCTTCTTATATTTGAGATTTTCCAGTTCCAGTCACCTTTCTGTGGTTTCTGCTTTCTGAACTTCTCTTCTAAGTACGTCCTATACCTATGTCTTTAATTTCGAACATAGGTAAGCATTTCCATAGTTATGTCTAAATACACGACATTCCCAAAATGTTCAATATGGTCAACTATGACTCTCCTGGCATTAAGGACATCTTTGTTGGTTTTGTGTAATAGCTTCTTTATTTACAGCTTTTGACACGAGCCTGTCCATAAGACAGGGAAAGGAAAGTTTTGCAAACTCTCCAAAAGATGTAAATAAAATATCTGGAATTGTTTCTTGTCTAATATAGAGTATCCATTCAGTTCTGCTCTTTCTAAAACATATGAACAGTTGAATCAGGTGCCTGGAGGAATGCCATGAGAAACTCTTTGTGCAGCCTGAGAATAGTGTCATAGTTCCTTTCTTCCACACTGTCTGAATTAAACAGACTTTTTACTCTCACACTAATTTGTCGAAATCGGTGTCTATACCGAAACCAGTAACTGTGTCAACTGAAGTAGAAAATCGTTCGATTCAGTTTGAAGTGTATACAGGTGCATCAATGACGATTATTCTTGAAGATATCCACTGCCAAAAAATAACAAACGTCACACTTCGTCCATGGCACACAGTTATTTGTACGTATACAGAAGAGATACTTCCGCTGTTAGGCCAAGCTAATATGAACATTCGTTATAACGAACAATGGTGATTGCTAAGGTGCAAAATCAGCCAGTAGTTTTAGGGCGTGATTTGTTACAATGCATCAAACTGAACTGGAACACATTGTTCAAAATGACAGACAGTTTTGTGAATTTTGGATGAACAAATATGTGTGTTTATTCAATGGTGGTCTAGGGACAATTAAAGGACACACACAGCAAAAATCTTCGACGAATTGCTGCTTCTAGAGAAATTGGGGGGTCATAAG